TCTCTGTTCCTTTCTTCTTTTCTTGTTGTTTCCTTTTGAATTCCTGGTTTTCTTTCGAGTTTTTTTTTTCTTTTTTCTATTGACTTTTTTGTTTATGTTGTGTCGGTTTTTTGTTTGTTGCTATCATGAGGTACATATATACCCATTTATAGCTATAGCAGTCTGTTTTCAGCTGATAGTTGTTTAAATCCAATGCATTCTAAAAGCACTACATTTCACTCCCTCATCCATGCTTTGGTTTTGACATCATGCTCTATATATTTTTGTTTTCTGTATCCCTCTGTATTGTAGCTGTAGTTAATTTTGCTACCTTTGTCTTTTAACCTTCATTTAAGCTTTTTAAGTGGTTGATTCACTGTGCTCATTGTATGTGTTTATTATATTGCCTTTACCAGTGAGGTTTTTTCTTTCCTGTAGTTTCTTATTTCTGGTGATGGCTTTTTCTATTCTGTATGAAGAAGACCCTTTAATATTTCTTATAAAGATTTAGGGGTGGTGAACTTCTTTAGTTTGTGCTGGTCTTGAAAACTCTTTTACCTTACCTTGAATTCTGAATGATAACCTTGCTGGGTAAATTATTCCAGATTGTAGGTCCCTTTCTTTCAGCACTTTAACGTTGTTCTGCCACTCTCTTATGTCCTTTAAAGTTACTGCTGAGAACTCAGTTGACAGCCTTATAGGATTCTTTTGCATATAACTCATTTTTCCTTTTGCCTTTTTAAAAAAACATATATATTTTTATTGATTTCAGAGAGGAAGGGAGAAGGAGAGAGAGATGGAAAAATCAATGATGAGAGAGAATCATTGATCAGCTGCCTCCTGCATGCCCCCTTTTGGGGATCGAACCTGCAACCCTCGCATGTGCTCTTGACCAGAATCGAACCCAGGACCCTTTAGTCCACAGGCTGACACTCTATCCATTGAGCCAAACCAGTTGGGGCTCCTCTTTTTCAAGATTATCTATTTATCTTTAACTTTGCCAATTTAATTATAATATACATTGATTTGGGCCTTTTTGTGTTCATCTTGTTGGGATCTTTCCTTGCTTCCTGGATTTGATGTCAGTTTCCTTCCCCAGATTAGGAAAGTTTTCAGCCATTATTTCTTTTCTTTTCCTTTTTATATATTTTTATTGATTTCAGAGAGGCAGGGAGAGGGAGAGAAAGATAGAAACATCAATGATGAGAGAGAATAACTGATTGGCTGCCTTCTGCACACTCCCCACTGGGGACTGAGCCGAAACCCAGGATGTGCCCTGACCGGGAATTGAACCGTGACCTCCTGGTTCATAGGTCAACGCTCAACCACTGAGCTATGCTGGCCGGGCGCCATTATTTCTTCAAATATATTTTATGTGTTTTTCTTTCTCTTCACCTTTTGTAATCCCTATAATGAGCTGGTTACAACACTTGATCTTGATCTAGAGGTCTCTTATACTATCCTTATGTATTTATTTATTTTTTTAATCCTCATCTGAGGATATTTTTCCATTGATTTTTAGAGAGAGTGAAAGAGACAGGGAAAGACAGAGAGAAACATTGATGTGAGAGAGACACATCGATTGGTTGCCTCCTGCATGAGCCCTGACTAGGGCCTGGGCTAGGGAGGACCCTGCAACTGAGGTATGTGCCCTTGACTGGAATCAAACCTAGGACCCTTTGGTCTGCAGGTTGATGTTCTATCCACTGATCCAAACCAGCTAGGGCCTATCCTTATTTTATTTTATTTTTTTAAAATTTGCTGTTCTGATTGGGTGATATCCACTATTCTGTATACAGATAATTAATTTGTTGTTTTCTAGCAATATATTTTTTATTTTAGTTATGCATTCTTCATATCTTATTTGTACTTTATTGTATTTTCTAACTCTTTGGTGAAGTTCTCTTAATTCCTCTTTTCTATTCTCATTTTTTAAATCCTCACCCAAGGATATGTTTATTGATTATTAGAGAGAGAGAGAGAATGAAAGAAAGAGACAGAAAGAGAAAAAGGAGAGAGAGAGAGAGAGAGAGAGAGAGAGAGAGAGAGAGAGAGAGAGAAATGTGAAAGATAAACGCCAATCAGTTGCCTCCCATATTCACCCTGATCGGGGATCAAACCTGCAAACTTTTGGTGTATAGGACAATGCTTCAGCCAACTGAGATACCCAATCAGGGCCTACTCTTGTTATTTGAATATCCTATGATTGTTTCTTTGAACTCTTTATCAGGCAAATTACTTACCATTTTATTAGATTTTTTTCCTTTGTGGTTTTGTGTTCCTTCAATTGGGGCATAGTCTTCTGTCTCTCTATTTTGTTTGACTTTCTGTGTTTGTTCCTATGAGTTATGAAATAGCTATCTCCTAATCTTGAAGTGGCTCTGGTGAAGGCTCTGTGTTGGATAGTTTTGGCAGGCTGGTTATAGTCTAGCTGCACACAAATTGCTTCTGGTGTGCCAATTGGCCAGAAGTAGTGCGTTCTGAGTGGAACAGCCTGGTGTACAGGCATATGAATTAGCTCTGTGTTTTTCTGCCTATCCATGGCCACAATGTAGTTGGGGAAGCCATATGTGTGTGTGCTTCCTTTGCCCTTCTGATCTGGGTGAGGTTTCCAGGTGTGTGGACAGGTGGTCCTGTTGCCTTAAGTGTCTTTGCATGGACTGGATCTGGGTGGGATTGTCCTGAGTGCACTCGTTGCATCAGCCCACTGGTTTCACAATTTCTCTGGACAGGGCATCCCTATGCACTCACATAGCAGCACCTTACTATTTTCATACTCTTTCTGGGTGAGGCAGGCCTGCATGCAGCAGTGCTCCAGTATCTGTGCACTTTCTCTGTATGGTACTGCTCTGCATATAGGTATTGCAGCGCTTTGCTAGATCCACTGGATCAACCTCTGGGTGGAGGGCCCTGTGGGTGCATGCTATGGTATCCTTCTGTCTCTAACTATGGGAGGGTGGCTGTGGATGTGCTATTGTGGGTTTGTAGGTTGACTAGAGAACCTGGACAGAGCTAAAATGCACTCTCCAAAAGCAAAGGGAGATGTAACCCATGGTGCTCCCCCATCCTCTGGTCCTGGAGAGTTCCCTCAGTTCTTAGAGAGCTCTGGAGGTCCCAGTCTTCTCTATGTGGTATCTCTCTTGGTTGTTGTGTAGAAGCTGTTCAGTTAGCCTTCAGTTGTCTCTCAGGAGAAACTGCTCTAAATATAGGTGTACATTCAATATGTTATTGGGAGGGGGCTAAATCAGTGTTTCCCAACACCAACATCTTGGACTTGCCTCTCACACTTTCTGTTTTTGAGGTCACATTTTATATCTTTTTGTTTTGTGAATCTCCTAACTAATTTTAGTTTGAGTTCCCTAGCCTGCTCTATATGACCTCTCTCTCATTTCTGGTACTTTTGTCTTTTGACCTTTATAGTAGCTTTTTAAATGTCTGATTTGCTATGTTTATTTAATATTTGGATTTACCTGTGAAATTTTTTCCTTATATATTCTAATTTATGATTATTGCTTTCCCGTTTCTTCTTAAAGATCTTTAACATTTATCGTAAAAATGATTTAATGGTGATGAACTCCTTTACTTTTTGCTTGTTTTTATCTCTCCTTCAATTCTGAATGATTACCTTGCTGGGTATATTAATCTAGGTTGTAGGTTCCTTTATTTCAATACTTTAGAAGATATCCCGCCACTCCCTTCTGGCCCATAAAGTTGCTGCTGCAAAATTAGTAGATAGCCTTATGGGGTTTCCTTTGTTTATAACTTGTGTTTTTCTTGCTTCCTTCAAGAGTATCTCTTTGTTTTTAACTTTTGCCATTCTAATTACCATATGTCTTAGTGTGGGCCTCTTTGGGTTTATTTTGTTTGGAAATTTCTGTGATTCCTGTATCTGAATGGCTGTTTCTTTTCCCAGGTTAGAAAAGTTTTTAGCCATTATTTCTTCAAATAATGTTTTTGTTCCTTTCTCTTTTTCTTCTCCTTCTAGAATGCCTATAATGTGAATGTTTGTGAGCTTGATTTTGTCTCACAGGCTCTTTAAATTATCCACATTTTAAAAATTCTGTTTTATTTTTTGCTGTTCTGATTAATTTCCACTAGTCTGTGTTCTGGGTCACTGATACATTCTTCTGTATGTTAATCTGCTGTTGATTCCTTCTAGTGTATTTATCATTTCAGTTATTGTATTTTTCAGCTCTCTTTGGGCCTTTATTATACTTTCTCTTTGTTGTAGTTTTAAGTTCCTGTATTCCACTCTGAAGTTTGGTGAGCATCCTTAGAACTATAGCTTTAAATTCTTTATCAAGCGAATGACTTATCTCAAACTTCTTAGGGTTTTTTCTTGTTCCTTCATTTGAGAGGTATTCTGTTTTTATTTTTTCATTTTGTTTGACTTTCTATGTTATTTGTATAAATTTGATAAAATATCTATCTCTCCCATTCTTGAAAAAGTGGCTTTATGTAGAAGTTACCTATGTATAGGCTGTTTGTGTGCTGGGTTAATTTGGAAGGCCAGTTAGAGTTGAGCTGGTGCCTATGGTGGAGGAGGACATAGACAATGTTGCTTATCAGCACCTCTGATCTTGGAGATTTCCTACAGATACCAAAGAGCTCCTTTAGTCTTTTCTATTTTGTCTTTCTCTCATTTGTGTTCAAAAGCTGTTCAATCAGTCTTCAGCTGTCTCTCAGGAATAATTGCTCTTCCTATAAGTGTGTATTTTAGTGTGCTTGTGGGAGTGGGCGATTTCAGCATCATACTATGTCACTGCCATCTTGGACCTCTTGTTGGGGTCTACTTTGAAGTGTATCAACATTTTAGGGATGACAAATGACCAGAAGCAACATCAATACTTTTAACATATAAGTTCTGAAATCTGATGTTTCTGCCATGGTAACAGCAGAGGTCTGAAGAAGGTATATAAAATATCCAGATATTCCTTCTGTAATGATCTAGTTACCAACCAGGACAAAGTAATTATTAGGCATGCATTTAATTTAACCATCTCTAAAGGAAATAGAATTACCTGCATTCCCTGATTTGATGTAAAGCCTTGCCAAGTTCATTGTTCTTCAGGCAGTCTAGCATGGACTGGATGGCTGCTTCAGTAGATGTGAAGGTTGGTTCAGACCACACACCCTCTATATAAAGAGGGTCAGCTGCAATGGCTGCAGTGGCCTCCTTCAGATTTTTCTTTAAGTCACTCAGTTCCCTGGACATATTTAGCAGCTGTTAAAAAATTATTTTTACTGTAGTTAGTTCAAGGATGGATTTTATATCCCCCAAAGAAAACAATTGATTATATGTGGTGTAGTTAAGCACAAGCTTAGTATTGTGGAAAACTAAAATAGGACAAATGAAACTTTACTACAAGGTATGTATAGGTGGTTGTATGGATGAAATAACTTCATGTGTCTACATCTGGGAAGTTCTTCTTATAGAAAGATTAAGACTTCCTTTAAAGTGTTGTCTAATTAAGTAGAAGGGCATATTCAGAAGTAAAATGCACACCAGAACAGGCTTGGGAATTGGGTAAAGATGGGTTCAAATCCAATTCTACAATGTATGGTGGGACCACAGTCAAGTAAATAGACTTTTATGCATCTTATTTTTCTCATCTGTGGGACTGAAGATATCACAGGTTAATTTTAAAGATGAAATAAGATAGTGTATATAAAATAGTAAGTTTTGCATAAAAATGCTCAATAAATATTTTCAACATGGACTATAAAAAATGAAATTTTCTTACTATTGCTATGCTATGGATAGAGAGTAAAGACATCCTTTTAAGTAAGAGAAGGAAAAATCTCAATGTAATAGTTCTCATGTTACAGAGGTAAAAGATTTTCCCTCAAAATTATTGAAACCAAAAGATCCAGAGTGTTATAAAGTAAAGCATATGAGAGAACCTACAAAACTTCTTAGTACTCCTAAAATGTATTGTGGAAGACAGCTGTTTTGGAATCTGATCTCAAGAGCATTTTTAAAAATTGACATGAATTTAAAGGTTTTTTCCCCTTTGTAATGCAAGTTGATGATTCTTGTTTTCTTTGTAGAATTGATTTACCCAACATCTTCATTCCCAGCTCCCTCATTTTACAAACAATAGAACCAAAGTTCTCAAGGACTATTTGTTTCCACACAGATGCCTGTTAAAAACAAATACCTACTTCAGAGTTAGGTTTAAAATGTTCTCAGGTAATGATTTTAATAAGATATTAGAGTACTTTATGTACATACGTTTTTAAGTTTTAAAGTGAATTTATTTTTAATTATTTTAAATCTAGGCAAGTTTTAATTATTGTATGTGCTTGTACAGTATTTAAAACTTACCTAAATTTAAAATAATTAAGGAGAAATTCACTTTAAATTTACAAAATTTAAAAACAGTTATCTAATATAGACACACACATAATTTACTTTTCTATGTAACACATAATTTACTTTTCTAAAGTAGAACTTTAATTGCCTTTTTAATATGGAAAAAGACATGTGAATTGCATTGCTTGTCTTCTCTTTTGTCTTCTCTTTTTTGAGCCAAGATGGATTCTAAGGACCTGTTAATACTTGCTGGAAGAATAAGAAGAGTAAACCTATCTTTACAACATGGCAAATAACATATAAACTGTCTTCTCTTTTATCTAATAATTTGTAATTCAATAGAGGAACACTGGTTTGTGAAGAGCTCTTCATAAACAAAGCTGATTCATGCCTCCCTTGAAATTAGCATTTGAAAGTATATTAAAAAACTATACCTTCCTTTTCCTTTTTTCCAAATGAGTGATAAATATGGTGCTCCACCCTCCCCAATATACTCTTAGTGGGATGGTTCCTGAACTCTTGGCTTTTCACTGATGACTACCACATCTATACCTTCAGTTCAGATCTCTCTTCTGACCTCCAATCTCTTCTATATTTTCATATTAAACTGCCTGCAAGATGTCGTTAACTTGGGCTGGTCCAGTGGGCAGACTCGGTTATTGACTAGCAGGCAGAAGGTTTGACCTGTTGGATGTACAATTGCCTCAGTCCTCCTTTTATATCCCTGTCCCACAGGTGGTACCACCAGTCACTTAGTTAATCTGAGATGGAACCTGATCATCACATGCTTTCCTCTCCTTCACTCCCACCCCCACTCCCAATTTCTTGACGTTTTGTCCTAAATATCTCTTACATTTCCTCCCTTCTCTCTATACCTAGCACTTCTAGCCTAGTTGAAGCTCTAATCTCGCATCTGAGCTATTTTATCAGCCTCATAAGTGATCTCCCTATCTCCAGTCTAGTTGTCATCAAATCCACCTCATACCTGTGCCATAAGCTCTAACCAAAACATTCTCAGGCACAGGATCTTCCATAATCTCCCCTTACCTATTTCTTCTACCTTGCTCCATCAATCCTTTTTAGTTTGCATGTTATAATCTAGCAATAGTAAACCACATGTAGTTCCTTTCTCTTTCTTACCACCATGTTTACTAGAACATACCTCCTTAGCCACCACTTTTTCTCTCTAACTCCAACTCATCCATGAAGAATCAGCAAGGTGTGATTTCCTCCAAAAAGCTATGCTATTTCAGCTTGATGACTTAGGTGTTTGTCCTTCACATTTCCATAATATCCTCTGTACATCCCCATTATTTCACTTACTACATGGCAGTAGTATTCACTTCTAGGAAAATTTTGCTCACTTGGAAGTAGTATATTTCAATTATTTTACTTTTCACATTTAAAAATATTAAAGCATCCTGATGCTAAGCAGGGAAGTGGAAGAGAATCAAGCATCATATAGATGTTTCTTTCTTATCTCAATGAAGAACAAGTACAGAAAGCTAAATACAAAGAAGGAAAACCATAACACAAGGATCCAAAGCCAGGACTAGGGCAGGCCAATTAAGGCCTCTTAGCATGGCACTGAGAGAGGTCTCATACTCAGAGTCCTTCAGTTTTGTGACTAGGCCTGTCACTTGCCTCACACTAGTCCTGGCACTGCCAAATGAGAATATAAATATGACACATTTAATACTTATTCTACAGCAAAATGATTATGTAGGAATAACATCATTTAGATAGTTTAGATGGGGGAACAGAGGATGTGGGGCAGGGAGAACAAAAGGAAAGGAAAGATTTTAATGGCAGCGCCCAGGGTTGGGAGGTGCATGGGCTCACCTCTGGCATGGAACTGACTTCGTGCACCTGGCCGATGAGCTTACAGTAGGACTGAAAAAGCAGCAGCAGCTGGAAGTGTAGCTTATATAACCTCTGACACAGTTCCAATTGCTAGAGAGAGAATTAGCATGGGGAGAAATTAGTTATTAAGGACAGTTTTTGTATAACAAGTGAAATCTTGGAGGAGGCAAACTTTTTAAAAATATCAAGGATCCATAACTAGCTGCTATTATTCCCAATAAAACAGAACAAGTCCAGTCAGTAAATATCAGTGAGACATTCACAATATAACATAGAATAGCTCCTGGAAGATGAGTAATTAGAGAGGAGTAGTAGCTATAAAGGGACTGAGTGAATCACCATGTTTGCCAGTTACATGTCTACAAATTATAGTTGCGGCTGTCTTAATTTTTATAGGCGGAATGTTTTTTTTAAAAAACAAAGAATTTATGTTCTTTAAAAAGTATAGTTGAAAGGTAAAACATTAAATCATTCTAAATATTAAATTTATAAATTCAGCAGACACTTGGGAGATTACTCCATGAAACAATTCTGGCTGCATTTTGGGTGTAGACACTCATCCTGAAGTCTGTGTAAATTAAACAGTCATATGACCCTCTAAGGTACTATGTCAGCTTTACTGACGATGCTTCTACTCAGTGCTCAATAAATAGTTGTTTAATTAAAGAGATAAAAAACAGCTAAAATGTGCTTACAAAAAGGAGACATTACAAAAACATTCAAAACTTTCTGTGGAAAGAACATTAAAAAGTAATAATACAAAATGGCCCTGTAAATACCACTGGAATTTAAAATGTGTTCATTATGTGAGTTATGTATCCTATGAGGGAAAAATAAATCATGAATAATTCTAACACCAATGATTATACTGCTCTTTGAGCTGTATCTGCTTATAACAGCCTCTAAATGCTGCCTATTTTATTCTAAGAATGGGTTAGCTCCTAGATAGTGGATGGGATTCTGTGAGGAAAAGAATAGTCTTCATAAGGTAGAATTTCATGGCTTAGCAGTCACTAGTGAAAGTGGTTAAGTATGTGGCTTAAACTACACTTCACTGTTCAGTTTTCAAATGTGGTTCCTTGAGGATAAATAGGGCCTTTCTTTTGCTAATGGAGTAGAGAGACCTCAGCTCAGAATTGAGAGCTACTGTGGTGATTTAAAATTGTTCCCCGAATCAGTTTAAGCAGAGAAATGACAATAATTTAAATTTAGGTTTGAAGAAGGATATTCTATTAACAGTATTATTAACAGAATTTTGATCCTAATTTTAAAAAGTTACTAAAGCTCATTTGAAACCATGGTGAATGAAGCTTTCTTTCTCCTCTCACCCTTTCTTTGGCCCTTGGGGGGATAAAATTCTGCTTTAGATTTACCTGATCTCTCATTGCTGGAAACCAGCCTAAGGTTAAAGAAGTAGCTACACTCACTAGTTACTCCAAACTAGATCTTTGGTTGTTTCAGTAAAACGTTGTATTTTGAACTTTTCTTTATGGGAAATCTTTTAAATTCTGGTACAAAAAAGTAACTACCAGAGATTCACAGAAAGATAAAAAAGTATTGTTTAAAAAATGTTACTTCACAATTTAGGGTGAAACCTAGCTATGAAAACTCTGACTTTTCAAGTGTCAGATAATGGTAGTTATTAACTCAAGATATTCCACTGATAGTATGAGAGTTCATAGCAACATAGGTTTCTACTTTTGGGCCGAAAGCAGCCCATTACGCTACTAACAAACTGGCATATCTCAATCTACCAAATAATATAAAATGGAAGGAAAAAGGGGAAACATGCTAAGAGCTATAATAGTAACAGTAAAAGTAAGGTTTGTTATGGGTCCATGCCTCAAATGGGCAGAGAGTATGAAAGAAAGTTAACTTACTGCCAGAGATTCCATTTGCTACACAGCAAGCATGGCACAGGAAACAGGAAAGGAAACAGAGTACAGGGTCAGTGTCTGCATGCAACGGAAAGCGCGGCCCTCTTCCACCAGCAGAACCATCAGCAGTATTAGCATTGCTTGCCCAGACTTGATAAATGGTTGCAAATGTGGTACCCATTCGACATGCAGAGCGGCCCAGTTAAAAACAAGCTCTAGTGGGAAGCATGTTGTTGAAAAAGTAATTTGTAATCTTTCAGATTCTCTGGTTAGTTGGTTTAGATTTTTGTCTTGGAGATCAGAAGTCAAGACTTTTATTGCTTTACGATTTTAGTATTTAAATGTGAATAATATGTGAACATAGTAGAACTCTGAGGTCAGCTGAGTAACGTGAATGAACTACAGCCCCAAATAAATTATAGCATTGCTAAATATTAAGGCAGAGTCTTTCATATGTTTGGCTTCATACCTACTAAACTATGACTATCCAATTAACATAAAATATAATTAACAATCTAAGTGGCATTTTCTTTAATCATATTGCCTTCCACATTGAGAATATTTTATAATATTGCTAGATATAGTCATTTCAAAGGGCTGAACATTGTCTGTATACTTCCCAAATAAGTGTGAGATATGACATGTAATTTTCTTGCATCTTATTTTTTATAATTTTTGCTAGTAGACAATTTCTAAAAGTAATATAGAACTCATGGTTAGTCTAGAGTAATATAACTGGGCCATGTTCAACTATGGCTACTACTTTTTGGTGTCACCATATCATAACCATATAATTGGTTTAAGGAAAGTTTGGCAATGTGGAAAGAGATAACTGTAACCTGACACTATATTAGAAAAATCAATTTGGCCATTCTTAATTAAAGGTCAGTATATCTGGTTTTAGATTTTCAAAATATTTGAGGACCTATCTGTTTCCAATTCTTGACCAAAAAACTACTTATCTTAATGCTCTTTTCAAAACATTCTCTGTGTTATCAGTTTAATGTATTGTGCTTAACATAAGGTATAGTGCACAAAAAATAAAACCATCAAATTATTTATTACTATCTTCAAACATAAAGCATTACCACTACCAATCTCCACTACAACCCGTCTTCAAAGCTTCTCGTTTCACCTGTTACATGTGTTTGGCACATTGAAGACTATTGTATTATGTTTATTGAGTAGTTTTTTGGGCCCTGGCCACGACTACCATTCAAACTTTGAAAGATAAATACTTTTAATATTGTGAAATAGATTATACAACTTGAGGTATTTATTATTTTGGGAGAAAAATTTCTGCCTAGAAGTTTTTATAACCAAACCTTATCTACTGACATACAATGTCACTCCAGAAAGGAGTACAGGGCCAGGTTCTTAAGTCTATATATACAGAATTTCTACTGTGTAGACTTTTAGAAAATGTCAAATATGAACAAAATACTTAGTATGCATTTCAGTATGTAACAGCTTCTACCATAGAATAAACTATTGAGAAGTGTGGAATGAAGGACTAAGTAAATTACATGGTCTTTGTGAAGAAAATGCTGTCTTTACTGTTTTCCAAAACAAGGTTGTAATGCAAGATCATCACATCAGGTAAAGCAAAATCTCTGTTAAGTAAAGGCAAATGAGCCTTTTTGACTCCAGCTTTGTGCTAAGGAATTTCATCATCAATGTATTCCTTCCACTCAATTTTCAGGACACAAAAGAGTGTTTCTTGGGAGATGGCCAACACGACGCATACCAGTTCTCAGAGTCCTTCTTAAACTCTCCTTTTTAGGTAAGCTAGTCCAAGCTTCCTTATATTTATTATCTTAGAATCCTTTCTTAGGCCAGAGCCTGGGACCCAGTTTTTATTTGCAGCTCCAAAAAGCAAAAAAATGCCTTTCTAGGCCATTTTATGGAAAATGTTAAAAGTCTCCCACTCCCATGCTAATGTTTTCTTATATCTAGGTTTTAAAAACAACGCCTTTAGAAATTTGTATTATGAATGTGTCTAAGTGACTCAAGGTTCTTTCGAAAATACTGTGGTAATGCCTAAAAATTTTTCTTCAAGCACTGTTCCTTCACTGCTGATATGGGTTGATTTGTAAATTGGATTTAGAGGTTATGTTTTTCAAAATGAGAAAGATCAAGAAGTCAAGATGTAAAGAATTGATCATAGATAGGGTGGTTTAAAAGCCCCAAATAATCTAATTATTATGCATTAACAGTAGCATAGACATTCTTATTACTCTGGATTCTGCTCTGAAATGAATTCTATGTTTATGGCATAGGTAAAAATCTGAGAAGTTTTTGACAAGACAGGAAATGAGCCACAGTGTACTATAGCAGCTATTATTTTCACCATCTTTTGTCTCTGAAAGTCACTCGTTAAAACTAAACAATAAAATTGAGCCCTGACCAGTTTGGCTCAGTGGATAGAGTGTCGGTCTGCGGACTGAAGGGTCCTGGGTTCGATTCCAGTCAAGGGCATGTACCTTGGTTGCGGGCACATCCCTAGTACGGGGTGTGCAGGAGGCAGCTGATCGATGTTTCTCTCTATCCCTCTCCCTTCCTCTCTGTAAAAAATCAATAAAAAATATATATTTTAAAAATTTGAGATAACCTAGCCAATTGTAATACATGGATGCATCTAATCTCTCAAGTATATATGAATAATATGTACTTACCTGCTGCTAAATTACATGGGTCTGGCACATTGATGACCATTGTATTATGTTTGATTGGCACTTTTTTGGACCTTGACCATGATTATCTTTCAAAGCTTTGAAAAATAAATACCTTTAAGCTTATGATAAAGATTACACAACCTGAGTATTTACTATTTTTAAGGAAACATTGATTTTAGCATACATTTCCTTAGTCAGCATTGGAAATAGGATTTCTTGCAGAATAAAGAGTGATTGACTAGATGATGTTTAATAGATTACATTTTAACTGGATAAATGTCTTGTTTTGTTCAAGTTAACTTGTTGTTCAGTCTCTATAGGAAAAGAAGCTTTAGGCTTCTTATTCGATGGATTGATTACGTAGGAATAGGAAATACATGATAGAGTATTAGTGTTCAGGAAGACCCTTATCATTGGAATGGTGGTTTAAATATAAGATGAAATGTAGTGGGGCTAAATGTCAAATATTGTACTTAAATACAAAGAGTCACATGTTTAAGTAGTACTCAGAAATATCTGTTGAATCTTGATTCAACTA